TATCGCCTGCTAGATGAAAAGGTTAATATATAAATTAATATAAACAACAATTATTGTAAGTTGTTATAAACTTTCAGGATAAAAACGTATGTGTATGTACACGCACGTGCGTATGCATATGTATATGTATGTGTATGCATATAGCCTTGAAATCAATCAATAATAATAAATGTATATAAATAAAAAATAAATATACTAAACTGAAATTAAAATCTATTTTTTTAAATATATATAACATACAATTATCACAAATAATAAGACCAAGCTTACTCTTCTTCTGGAGTCAATGATGATACACTAGATGTGATTTGATTTGGTGAAGATGCTCCATCAGTAATATCCACAGATAATTCATGATCTGTTATATCATTTTGAGAACTATCCTCCTCCAGTGATACTATTTGTGCCATTGCTTGGGAATCAGATATTTCTGTTATAAAAAGAACAATGACTTATTAACTCTTTTTGCATTGGATAAAAATTTCATATGTTGTTACCATTATTAGAATCGGTAGTTTGTCTATCAGCTCTTAAGTTTGTGCTGAGTCTCCTTAAAGCTTCCTCTATACTTGGAAGACGTCTAATATTGGCCCTGGTTATACCTGACTCGATACGTACTATTCTCCCACGGCTATCAAGTCCATAGGAGACATGTGGCATGTTATCATCTGACATTGTATCTTAGTGAAGCAAACTGTTCATTATCATCTTAAAAACATATTGATAAAATGATAATTATTATAAATCGCTTTTTGAACATAATTTATGAATACTTTAAATTATATAGACCTTTCTAATAGACAAATTTTCTGTTAATTTATGTTATTTCTGTTAATATATGAGTGGAGAAGTTATAATTGATTATTCGACATAACTTTGCGATATAAATCATATCTGGGATATTCCATTACACAAAAATTACATATAAATTATGCAAATATATTTTTGTATATTAGATAAATGGATATGCAACATAATTTCATAAATCGCACAATTGCATTTATTCATTATTACAATTGCAATTATTCATTGTTAATAATATTTATATTTCATACACAAGAGCATAAGTACTCAAATTTAATTTAATTATAACACAGAGATGATAGAATGTTAGATTTTTATTCCTAATAAACAGAACTGCATTTTCTAAGTACTAAGCAATGTAACATACGTAAACGTGGTAAATGTGGTATATATGAGATTATCTTCAATTATCTTCATGAATAGATCAGAATAAACATACGTTATATTTAACACGAATAAAGCAGTTAGAAATGTAACTGTGAATCGTATAAAAACATGAGAATTTCTTTATAAAGACTAACAATTCCTTCGGATATAACCACACAAAGATTATATCTCAAGGTATGATGATGCAAACTTAACACTTAATAAATGCAAACAAAGCCGATGATTTCTGATAATTCAGAAGTTTGTATACATTTCAGCGAAGGGTAATGTCATCGACATACATATATAAGGTTTGTTCTTTTCCTCTGCACTGGGGCTGCACTAGTACTGCACTGGAATTGGTGATGATAACAGGTTTTGTTTTTTATTCCTGAACTTCCTGAACTAGTGCAAGAAGTGTACACTAAAGCCTAGTCTACAATAACATAAGAGGATGACACCCGTTTGACGATATCCTGATTGATCACTAGCCACTCACAATGCTTGAACGGTGGAAAAATTCTAGACGCCAACCTCTGTTCGTGTCGGTCCACAATAAGTATTTAATCTTTAAGTCGTAAGAAATTGACCAATCATAGTCGATTATTCTTTTCATATTCGATTATAATTGGTCAATTTCTTACTTCTTAAAGCTTAAATCACCTATTGTGGACCGACACTAACGGGACTAGTTAGTCCTTACAATAGGTGATTTAAGCCTTAAGCCCTAAGAAATTGACCAATTACAGTTGAGTATTCTTCTACTCTTCAACTATGATTCGTTTATTTCTTATGGCTTAAAATTTAAAACCTATTGTAGAACGGGACCTAAGGGCCGGAGCACACACCTCTGCATGACACAGTATACACAGTTACTATGACGTAAGATTGTTAAGCATAAGAAATGAAAATAATTCATTTAAATAGGTTTTTACAATTACATCTTATCGTCTTATAGTTTATGTTATGTAATTGTAGACTAGGCTTTAGAGTTGATTTATAGAGGTCATAATCTGTTAACTTATGCTGTAACCGTAAAAAATTGACGAATCATAGTCGATTTAGAGACCTAGAGACACAATTAGAGATCCGCCAATCAGAGATTGGCCACGACTCTGATCCGCCATGTCTTGGATAAATCCTACGAGAGAGAAAGAAATATATATTATCTCACTCTAATCAATAACGTGTTTTGATAGCGATATTTTTTACTTTTGCTATGGGCATTGATTTAAGTGTATTGTGCATATGTATTATGCACATGGATCTATGCATAATTTCGTAGCGAAAATTGAGTAAATTTCAAACGCAAAATATTTAGCAAAAAAAGCGATTTTAATTAACAATATGTTCCATTCTATCCAATGACTTTCTGCCATCTCTCCACGAGCTTCATTATCCCTCGTTCATAGAAGTCCTGAGATTTTTGGGAAAAGAAGTCATCCAAGTGGTTTTTAAGAACATCCAGGGAACTAAAGGTTTTGTTACTCAAATTGTTATGTAGCGCCCGGAACAAATGATAGTCTGAAGGTGCAAGGTCGGAACTATACGGTGGGTGCACCAAAACATCCCATCCAAGCCGCAATAATTTTTGCCGGGTCATCAGAGAAACGTGTGGTCTAACGTAACTCGTTGTCCTGATGGAACACAACGCCCTTTCTGTTCGCCAATTCGGGCCGTTTCTGATCGATTGCTCACTTTAATTTGGCCAGTTGTGAGCAGTACTTGGTCGAATTAATCGTTTTGTTGAATGGCAGCAGTTCATAATAGACGATTCCTTTCCAATCCCTCCAGATACTGAGCATGATCTTCTTCGGGTGTAATTCAGCCTTTGCGATCGTCTGAGCAGCCTCTGAGCGTTTCGACCATGATCTTTTTCGACTGACATTGTTGTAGACAATCCACTTTTCATCGCCAGTGATCATCCGCTTTAAAAATGGTTCGTTTTGATGGCGTTTAAGCAGCGAATCGCAAGCTGAAATTCGGTCCATTAAATTCTTTTCGCTCAGTTCGTGCGGTACCCAAACATCAAGTTTATTTACTATTCCAAGCTTCCGTAAATGTCTCGAAACAGTTGATTGATCAATGTTGAGATTATGTCCAATCTCTGTAGTCGTCAAATGCCGGTTGGAGTCGATTAAAACCTTGATTTGATCGATATCAGTAGTGACTGGCCGATCAGAGCGAAAAGCATTTTGGAGATCAAAATCTCCGCAACGAAATTTCGCAAACCATTTCCGACACATACTTTCGCTTACGGCATTCTCTCCGTACACGACACATATCTTTTTGTGAGTTTGCGACGCGTTTTTGCCTTTTCGGAAATAAAAAAGCGAAATACATCGAAAATACACAATTTTTTCCTTCCATGTTCAAAATATAATTAAACTTCGTATACGTCATCATATACGGATCTCGAATATTTTCTTAAAATGTCAGCATAAATTTCAGCTTTCACTTAATGTATGACACTTCATATGTTTGACACATGTGCGAGCAGAAAAACAACTGCGAACGACATCTGTCAGAATTTCGCTACGGAATTATGCATAGACCCAATATTAAACACACGGAAAGCGCGATAATAAATTATTAAATAGAGATACTAAAATTGCAAAATATAGTAAATAAATTAATTCATTGTGATAAATGGCTGGATGTTAATTTTTTTACTTAAATTTTATTTTATATTGTAATAAAGTTTGTTTATAATAATAGTAAATATGTATAATAATCCTTTCTTAAAAAAGGCATGATATTAAATTTACTTCTCAAAATCTTTCGAAATTTCTTGTATCTCTCGAAATTTCCTCGAAGTTTATTGTTGATGCTTTTCCGCAATGGGTTCTCTCGCTGCACTAACTTTGTGAATAGTTGTCATTGTATTGATTTCATAGAGGATTGTTTTGACAATTGTATATCAAGAAATTAAAAATATTATAGTGTAACAGTATAATGATATTATATTAATTTTTGCTCTTGTGTTGAAAAAGATAAATAAAAAAATTAATAAAAAGATAAATAAAAAATAAAAGATAAATAAATAAATAAAGAGTAATAAATTTAAAATTGTTAATATTAAAAGAAATATATTAATAAATTGGTAATATAATTATGTAAAATAAAATTTTATAAATATATATATTTTATTATCTTTAAAACGCTTATGTTTTTAAATTATAATATTATAATTTGAGATTAATGTAGTTAATTAATATTTAAAAATAAGTGGGAATAGCCAAAAGATAGCGGACCAATTAAAAGTGGCTTTTTCGTGATCAATCTTTTGTGATGTAGTGTCTCTTATAGAGACCCTATAAGAAGAGACTCGCCAACTCGTCACGTGACGTTAGTAGACTCTGATTGGCTGGAGTATGGATTGCATATCTGTGCTCCATGAAATGAAACAGATGTTTCAATAACCTTTCAATATTTTAACAGATACATGTTATGTACTATGGTTTATGTGCTTGAATGTCTTGGATGAGTACGTGGAATCTGTGAAGGTTGACGGTTCGAACACAACAGAGTATACTATAATTATGTTTATTTATGCCTCAGATTATTTACAATATTTACAATGCTTCGAATCACTCGTGTGCTTTAATAATGAAGATAATTAAAGTTGTGTAAGAGAATGTAAGTGTGTATTTACAAGAACGGTGAGTGAATGGTGAGTGAGTAAAAGCCATATCAGACTAGCGGTTGCTCGGCCACGGTTGCCGATTGATTATTCGGATGACACCCATTGACCATGTCCCGATTGACCACTCATAGCGCTTGAACAGTGGAAAAATTCTAGGCGCCGGCTTCTGTAAATGACTAGTGATCAATTGGAACGTGGTCAAAACGGGTGTCACCCGACTATTCTACTATTACCAATCACATTGATCATAATCAGGACTTGCTACATTATGATTGGTTGAAATAAAATCGTCAACTGGCAACCGTAGTCGCGCAACTGCTTGTCTGATATAACTTTAAGTGTGATCGTGAATGTCCTTCGTGTTATAGATGTAATCCTCCTCGTGGATTGGCTGTTGCTGAGTGAGTTGAATCCTCGCGTCGCGGTTCGTCCGCTGCTCTCGTTGTCTATTCTCCTTTGTGTCTCCTAGTCCCTGTGTTCTCCTTGGATTATTTTTGATTTAGGTGGACAGGGCACGGGCCGCTTAAGACCTGGGCCGGCCTAAACGAACTAAGCGCCTTTCTTGGCGCCTTTCTGGCGTGCTTCGATTCCTCCTCGGTGATGTTGAGGTTCCGCTGGACTTCCCGTCGTCGCCGTTGGATGGGACCCGTTTGACCACGTTACAATTGACCATCAGCTACTCATAGCGTTTGAACAGAAGAAAACCTCTAGGCACCGGCTGCTGTAAATGGCTGTGGTCAATCGCAACGTGGTCAAACGGGACACTCCCGTCGCCGTTGCAGGCGGTTCAATCGGAAAGATCCTAGTGTCTCGGAGAGAATAGTGGACGGTTGGATCCGGGATATC